AAACGTACGATACAAGTTTCAATCGATTTGATTGGCGGCTTGTCAATCGACAGAGGTAAATAAATTATTGTGTTTTTAAACTTTTCGATTCACTCAAATATTTGATAACGTTGAGGTCAAATATCTCTGAATTTTTGAAACTACTGACGTACGAAAAAGTCCTTAAGGAGGAAACTATGACGAATATTCATGATAAAGCACGCTGAATATAAAACGAGCGATAAGCATTCGCGTTATTTTTTGTTGATTAACGAACGTAACCGGGGGGGACGCTCAATAGAGTTTCCAATGTAGCAATCGTGCTCCTTTACCTAATTCTGAACCGATGTCTTCCCCAAAAGCGGTCTGACTGTTTTAAAAATACATTTCCGATAAAAGCTGTTTCGTTTTAACTCCATTCTTGTGTTGAAAGAAACCTATAGTGAACTGAACAATACGCCCCGCATATTAATGGCCAGTTATAGTGGAAGCTAAGGAATCATTAGCTGGTTCCCTTGTTGAAGCCTAAATGAGCTTTTTTGCCAGAGACGAATTGGAAAAAGGAGAAGGGAAAAACACACAAAGATTTTTAAATACTCTCGCTTACGGTAGGGTCCAATAATAGGATCAATATATCTTTATGCCTTGATAAGCTGTAAGTTTGCGCAATCATAAGTTGTTTTGATCGCGCATTGCTGTGCATCATACGAAGTGATGGAAAAGCATTATGCCGACCCTTTTTCCTTATGTCCTTTCATGTCACAGTTTCATAAACACAGTTAGAGTGTAATATTCTATCTGTCCAGGGCAAGAAACTAAAAGTGGTGTAACGGTAGAATAATCATGATATGAATCAAACAAAGAAACAATATATCTTCCCTTCACTTCGTAAACCTCAAAGAGACGGAAAAAAATTATGAACTAAGGCTAACCGACTGTTCCGTCATGAATTGCACAGTCATCAAGTACACAATGTGTCTAGTCAAGATGAATCACTGTCAACATTTTGTGTATGGTTTGAATTTTAAAAACCACCGACATGAAAAAGTCCTTAAGCGGAAACTATGATAAATACTCACGATAAAGCACGCTGAGTTTATCAGTGAAGAGCGAATAAACATTCGCATTACTCTTTCTTTTTTCGATCACTGAACGAAGAGCAAGTGCATTTGTTCAATTTTTAAGGCATTAATCAAAATGTTACCTTCTGTTTATTTTTTTTTTTTTGTTGTGCAAACGTTCACGTGAGGCAAATGTTTCCCTGCTACTTATCAAACTAAGCCAGTGTCCTTCAACCATCTTCAATGATATTGGT